GGCATCTTTTCCTAATTCACACAAATGTGCCCAATGGGCTACTGGTGGTAAACTAGCTCTTACTGATTCTCCTTCTTGCAATGTGATGAAACCTATTCCAATCACACACTGTTACTTTATTTGACCTTTTCATGATGCAAATGCATTATATCAAACCTGCTTCAAGCAGGCAACACTTTCACTTTCCTCATCTCCCATGTCATTCCATTTTCCCTAATCAGTCCATCTGTATCCCTCCTAGATGTGGATCTATCCACACTGTCTTCTGACTCAATGGATCACATTTCCTGTTGTTGTTGAGTTGATAAGGCCTGTCCGATACCCCATGGACTATAGTACACCAGGCTACCCTGTACTTCACCATTTCCCAGAGCTTGCTCAAGCTCATGTCCATTGAGTTGATGTTGCCATCCAACCATCTCATCCTCTGTCGTCCCCTTCTCCTCCTGCCTTCAATCTTTCCCAGCATCAGGATCTTTCCCAATGAGCTGGTTCTTCCCATCAGGTGGCCAAAGTATTGGAGCTTCAGCTTCAGCATCAGTCCTTCCAATGAATATTCAGGGTTGATTTCCTTTAGGATTGACTGGTTTGATCTCCTTGCAGTCCAAGGGACTCTAAGAGTCTTCTCCAGCACCATAGCTCGAAAGCATCAATTCTTCCATGCGCAACCTTCTTTATGTTCTAACTCCTACACTCTTCCTGGTTAATCTCATTTTCCCAAAACTCACACACAGCCCTGGGCCTGCATGTTGTCAGGACATACCAGGTCCCATGACTCAAGAAAACAAGAGCCCTCCAACCAGAAACATGAAGCCCTCGCTATTCTGCATATATTTCTGGTTCTATATGCATTACTATTGGCGGGGAGGGGAGGGGAGGAGGTGCTGCCCACTCAGCTTGTGGGATCTTAGCTTCCCTAGGGATTGAACCCGTGGCCCCTGCAGTGGAAGTCCAGAGCCCTAACCACTGGACCACCAGGGAATTCCCAACATAAATTCTTAAAACTATAACTTATATATTGCTTGCATAGAAATACAAATCATTCTGAGCTGCAGTTGGCTCCAACTTCTTCAAAAGACAGTCTGAGTTCTGTTTAGCCTCTAGTTCAATGGCCGCCATAGCAAGCCCGGCTACAAAATGAGCTCAAAAGAAGTCCATGGGTTCACCCTCAAAATCATTCTAAGAAACTTCATAAAACCTAGAAAAACACTGTGCAGAAAGGATACAGAACTATTTCAGGAGGAGGGCTACCTCTGCAGAGGGAAAAGGGGCATGGGCTGCAGCCAGCGGTGAGTTGTTCTCCGTAACATTGAATTTCTTTAAAAATAAAACAATAAATAAATAACCTCTAACAAGATGGCGGCAAAATCTTAAGGTGGTAAATGTGTGTAGTGAGTAGGGGATATCTACTCTACTGTGTTATCTTCTGCTTTTTGAATGCTGGAAATATACCATAAATAACATTTTAAAATGTGAAACAAAAGGACATTTCTCTGCACTTTGGCTGAAGACTATTTTCTAATTATTCACCAGAGAAGCTTTAGGGCATCCTTTGATGAACCCCAAGTAATCAAGTTCTGACCTGGCCCATCCTCAGCTCAGAGGGAAAGTGATTGTGAATACAGCTGCTGGGGGGACTCGGAAGATCTCCTCGCTCCAGGTGGCTTGGTGCTATCACAGCAAAGGGCGGTGCCGAGGCTGGGGTGGTGGACAGTGTACCCCAGGGGCGTTGATATGACCCGTTCATCCGTGCTGTTGCTTCCCCTGCCCCCCATTCCTGTTGTCAGACTTCCACCAGCGTCAGCTTCTTTTCCTTCTCCTAAGGAGGTGTGTTTTAAATGATGTATCCATTCTGCCACCTAGCCTTCAGCCCCATCACTACAACAAAGCTGCCTTAACTAGCTCTTCTGCACAGATCTCAATCTTGCTGAATTTCCCTAATCTTGGGGGGTGGAGGGGGAACAGGACCTGGGTGACTGGGGGGACTTTATTTCTTAAGGGTCACCGTACCTTAGATTCAGACCAGGATGAAGCAGTAGCATTGAAACGCCCAGTGTGAAAGGGCATTTTCCTTTGGGAAAAGGACCAGTCAATCCCATAGAACCTTTAAAAAGGAATAATAACTCACAGTTTAGGCAAATCCGTCAAGGACAGAGGGGAGAGCAATGACTAGGAGTGAATAAAGACAAAATCCTTAGCTAACATTTTTCTTCTCCAATCAGAGGAATCCATGATATTTTATGTCCCATTAAAAGCCTTGCTTCCCCAAGTCATCAGGCATCACTCTGGGCTCAAAAATCACTTAGAAACTCATGAAAAATGACCATAGGAAAGGACTCAAACTTAATAAAACACAAATGCTATGTGTCCTTGGAAAAGTTGTCCTAAGCACAAATCTTTTACTCGGTTGCATTTCTTAAGATATTTGGTTAATCGTTTAAAGGAATGGGAAAGGGTGATCTCTGGGGAACTGAACACAAGCAAATGATATTTAACTTCTTACTTTTCCAAGAAAGATGTAGTTGAAAGGCATCAATGCTGCTTGGAAAGCAGTATTGCGAAGCTCCTGACAGAGAAGGAGGAAAGGGACCTCAGCTTCTGACATTTGAATCTGGCAGGCATAAATGTGCCCCCTTCCCCACCACGAAACTAAATTCATTGATGCAAACTTTTTTTTTTCCCACAAGCAATCCTCTAAAGGTGCTTGTGACAGATCTAAGGCTTCAGAACTCAGGGGAGGGGAAAACGGAATCAAGAAAGGCTCCAAGGCATCTTCCATAAGCCAACATCCTGGAACAGATCTTCCAGTCCACTGTCAGATGTTAATTACCAGCTCTTAGGGGCAAAGCCATCAGGCCAAGAGCCCATCTTTGAGCCAAATTGCCATAGACTAGCCCAGGCTACCAAGAAAATTCTCTCTTAAGCCTTCCCAGGGAGCCTGCCTACCTGAGGGTCCCTGGGATGGCAGCTTCTGTCCCATCAGCCAACTGTCAACCTCTCATGACCTAAGCCCATTTCTCCATGGAGAGACAGTCACAATGTGTTCAGCCCTGCAGAGTACCCCTCTCCCTCTCCCTGGCCCCCTGCCGCCCTACCCCACAGACCAGCTCTGGCTTCCTTTCTCTCTACCCTTTTCGTCTTCTCTGTGAATCATCCCCTCTCCCTTTTACCTGTCTTCACACATTTTATTTTCCAGCCACTGGAAGTCGGCTAGACAAAAAGACGTGTCACTGAGGCCGTCTCTCTCAGAATAGAGGGTGGCTGGAACTAGGCAACTCATGTTTCTCTGGAAGCAGCACCACAATCTCCCCATTCATCTGAAATGCTACCAGTGTGCCCAGAGCCGGCTTTGCCGCGGAGTCGGTGCAGAAATAGGAGCAGGGGCTGGGACACACACAACACCCTGTCCGAACCTGACACAAAAGGGAAAATAATACGTGATCTCCCTCACTCCTCAAATATTCCAACCAGAGTTGGGAATATTAATTTTCCTCCTACCTTACCGAGCCCCCAGACACAGAGGAGAAGCAATACTAACGAGCCTCGCTTGCTTTTTTTTTTTTTTTAATCATTACACACAGCTCCTCCTCCCTCTCCCAGCCAACACTTAAAGCCCCTCTGGCAATACGAACAAAAGAAAACTGAAAATTTTTGCCTTGATTTTAAAATGTGCCTTTCGGCAAGTAGGTAAATGGGAAGAGAGATCAGGATCTGGGGGTGTTAACAGCATAGAGCGAGATGCTTCTGAACGCAACCGGGAAGACAAATATTTTCTACCAGCAGAAGGAATTCTTATCGTAGAGGAGGGTGCAGTCTAGTGGTAAACTTCATGAAATGCAACCCCTTCTCCAAAGGGAAATTAGAGCCCTTCCAGAGAGACGAAGAGAAATGTAAAAGGGGTGACAGTACTGACCCAAGTTCCCCCAAACGGGACAGCCACAGCTGCTCAGCTCTCAGATGGGGCTCTGAAGGCCACACACCCCCATACCAAGTGCAGGAAAAACTAAAATCCCCACCTTCCTTCTTTGAAGACATTCACTTTCTTTCCTTTCAAGAAGGGTCCCTAGGGTTCCCATAGATCCTCTGAGGTTTCAAAAGGGATCACGGTGTTTCCTGTCTGGATCAGCTGGTCTCATGGTCTGCCAGCAGCTCCAATTCCTGGGCTATGCCTGCTCCCAGGAGGGTCCCTCATAACCTGGGGTCTCTCTGGTCTATGCCCTCCAGGGCTGTGGCCCCATAGAAATACTCCTTTCAAAAGAACCTGGAGGGACAGGATCACTCCACTCCGCCTTCCTTGCCTCTGACAACCCCACAGCAGGGCAGGACACCGTGGGCCTCCAGGCACAATTTTCAGAACCAGCAGTTCCTCCCAAGTGCCAGTGTCTGTAACCCAGTGCTGCCTATGATGCTGCTGCTATCAACGTCCCTTGGTGCAAGTCCACACACAGCTTCTCTGGGCCAACAGTGTAACTAAAGAAAAATGGCCCCTTCCTCCTGTGACCAAAGGCAGTCACTTCACCAGCAACAGAAACAATAGATTAAATCCCCTTCCCCAGATTTTTAGGGGGGAAATTTAGTTTTTCTTTTTTATTTCCCCACCACCACCCATCGCTGGCCATCTTACACTAACACCCATTCCAACACACACACACTACACACACACACCCTTACTTGGTCACTCAGACACCAGCAGACAGCCATTTCCCACAGCTAAGGTAGCATTTCTTGGGCACTCTATATATCCAGTTGGCTAATAAGAAAATTCTTCTCCCTCCAGCCTGAGCCTTCCTTGGCTAGCTAAGGGGTGGGAGGGACGGAGAGGAGTTGTATCCACCTTATTGTATCCAACGCGCTGCAAGAACTCTCTTCTCCCCCGCGACCCCCGCCTCCTCTCCCTCTCTGGGCAGCTCCAGCCCTGTTCCCCGCTCCCCCTCCCCCGTCCCCTCACCACTTTCTCCCATTCTAGGGAGAGGAGGGCGCTGTTCAGGCAGCGAAGGGGAGCCCCCGTGTGTCTAGAAGGCCTCTCCCCACCCCCACCCCGTGTGAGTGTACTCCTTGGCATCCTTGCCTGGGTTGGGTGTTGGGGAGCTCAAATTGCAGCTACAAACTGGCTGGCAGCCAGGGGCCGTCTATTTAAAAGCGCCGGCTCAACCGGAGCCCGTAGTCTCTTTGGAAACTTCTGCCGGGGGAAAAAGAGCTAGGAAAAAGCTGCAAAGCGGTGTGGGTTTTTTCCTTTTTTTTTTCCCTCCTCTTTACTACCCTCTCCTCTGTTTGCACCTTCCTTCGGGCTTCACGCAGAACCTGCGAATTTCGAAAAGGTGCTAGCAGGTTGGGAGAAAAGAGGTGTTAGGAGATTTGGTGTGTTTTCTTTCCTTTTTTTTTTTTTTAAATTTCTTGATTTCCACATTTTTCCCCCACCTTCGCGGCTGCAGCCGCCGCCTCTTACCTGTTCCGCAGCAGCCGCGCGCCGCTGGCAGCTGAGGGTTAGAAAGGAGCAGGGTGTACTTTGAGATTTTAAACAAAAATTTTGAAGACTAAATCTATTTTTCTCCCCCCGCCCCCCCCAACCGCCTCTCCTCCACAACCTCCGAGCTCTTTTTTTCGGTGGTTGTTTGGAGGTGAACCATTTTTGGCTCCCCCGCCCCAATTCTGACCAGGTCAGACTCCTGGGGAGGAGGGTTTGTTTCTCCAACCTCCGATTCTTCTGCGTGCACCTGGCGCAGATCCCTTTCCCCCTACCTGTTGCAAGTCTGTAATCTTTGCAATTGAGACTTGCTTGCAGGCACTCCAGCCCTCCATCGCTCCCTACATTTTGCAATTGTCCGGGGGAGGGCACCTGCTCTACCTGCCAGAAATTTTTTTCCAAAAAGAACAACATTGCTCCGCGCACCCTCCTGGCCCCTTTCTCCCGGCACTCTAACGCTCCTGCCCCGCCCCAGGTAAAGGGGGAGACTCGGAGAAGATGGTGCTCACCGCGCTCCTCCTGCTTCTGGCCGCCTGTGCGGGACCGGCCCAGGGTCTGGGCTCCTTCGTGCACTGCGAGCCCTGCGACGAGAAAGCCCTCTCCATGTGCCCCCCCAGCCCCCTGGGCTGCGAGCTGGTCAAGGAGCCGGGCTGCGGCTGCTGCATGACCTGCGCCCTGGCCGAGGGGCAGTCGTGCGGCGTCTACACTGAGCGCTGCGCCCAGGGGCTGCGCTGCCTTCCCCGGCAGGACGAGGAGAAGCCGTTGCACGCCCTGCTGCACGGGCGCGGGGTGTGCCTGAACGAAAAGAGCTACCGCGAGCAAGCCAAGATCGGTGAGCGCGCCCGTGTGCCACGGGCGGCGTGGGGGGGTGGGGGCACGGGACAGCCTGGCCCCGCGCGCTCTGCCCAGTAAGTGGCTTAGAGCCGGGCTGCTGGCCGGGAGGAGGGCGGGGAGGGTCCCTGCACTTCGGACTCGGAGCCCCAGCCGATCCTGCTGCCCCAGGGGTCGGTCTAGCCGAGCCTCTCCGGGTTTTCGCTCCTTCTCCTCGTCCCTACCCCCACCTTCTTCGCCCCACCCCTCCCCCCTCGATTAAACGGCGACTCTGAGCTCCTATTTCTTCTCTAGATGCAAATCCTCAGGTACTCAATCAGCAGTCCGAAAGTGTGCATCTTACATGATCAACTCCCTCTCCACCACCCCCATGTACCCAATATGTTGTGGGCTTTGTTTTGTTTTTTCCTGAACTTGAAAAAAAAAATCCTTTTGTTAAAATATTGCTTCAACTGGGGACCTGGAGAGAGAGGCGTTACCGGTTTTCGGTGCTAATTCTACCTTTGTCCCTCCCAGCCCCCTACCCCGCTACCAGTCCCTCCCTGACGTTTCCATTCTCCTACCCCGCCCCCCCGACACACGGGCGCACACGCACACTCACGTGCACACACAACACACGCACGCACGGACCCTTGGTAGCTTTTGCCTTTTGGGCGGGGGCTTTGATGCCCCTCCCACGTGCACACTCGTTGCTCTTGACTCGACATGATTGACTGGTCGTCGGTAAAACATACTGAAATGCAAAATACCTCTTTTTCCTCCCAGGAAAGGAAAGGTGACTTTGGGCAAGCTCAGAGGCGGCGGGGAGGTGGAGCAAATCGGGGGCGGGGGGAGTGAAGGAAAGGAATAGGGAGGGTGGGCTTGATGTTCCAGGGCTGGGTGTTCCTGAATCGAACTCCTTTCCCCAGCTCCTATTCAGATTTTACCTAGGAAGAAAGGTAGATATAGGGATGGGGAACGAGAAGAGATGTGAAATTCAGATACCGCAGCTTCCCCGCCAGTGCTAATCCCCCGCCCTGTCGCGTCGCCCCTCGAGCTCTCAAGCCAGATCACAAGTGGGTGTGGTGTAAAGGGGAGAGGGGCCCTGGAAACGCAGAATGCAAAATCAAGGGGGCGGAGACGGAAAAGCCACGCACCAGGCTCCTCCCCTCCACCTCCAAGTAGCCTCGCCCCCGGGTTGCCCCGCCCCCAAATTCTCAGTGCTGGGGTTTAAAAGGTTGACAGAGCTGCCTGCTCAATTGAAACAGTTCGGCTTCCTCTTGGAAAGTTACTTGATCTTAATTTTTTTTTTAAGTTTAATGAATCATACACAAAAGTCTGGGTTCTGAGCATTGGTCCTCCCCCAAAGGGGTTAATTCTTGGCTAAATTGTGTTTATTCTGTGCGGTATTTTCTTACTGGGACAATGCCTTTCTCTCCTATCTCCGTCCATTACGAGCACCCCAACATGAGTTGTCTTAACTGCAAACTACAGACACTCTCATGTAGGAAAGGAGTGCGTCTGCGGTTGAGAAGAGAGGCACGAGAGCTGTCGTGGGCTCGACCTGGATTCCCGCAAACCCTGCAGGTTTTGTCTGTCCAGCTTTGCAAGAGGTAGTGTTTCTCCAGTTTACGGCCAGCAAAAAAGGGAGAGAGGGCAATGTGCAGGCCCTGGAGGCCCCCGGGGACGGTTGGTGAACTTATTTTTATTAACAGCCAATTTTCAAAGGCGGTCCCGCCCCTACATCTTGTGAGATGTAGTGTGGAAAAGCTTAGCACCAGCACTGAGGGGGGGAAGGCATGAATCGATTTCCTGGCTTGGGAGCCAGCGCTCTGGGTAACAATCCGGTCACAGCGAAAGTATGCAAGGTATCGCTTGGCCGCATTCTGGCCCCACTTTTATTTGCCCAGCCGTGTGGTTGGTGTGATGTGGTTGGTGTGGAGGGTGAGCGCGCGCAATTGCTGGGAGAGCAAACTGACGCATCCAACTTTCCAGTTCAATCCCAACCCTTCCCCCCCCAACACACACACAAGGGCTTTTGTCCCAAGCAAGATGAGATGCCTTTTAGACTTCTCTGCAGCCCCTTCCTCAGCCCCCACCTTCAAAGTGCCTTGAAGCAAGGAGCGGCCTCCCTCCCCCTCCCCCCACTCCATCCCAGCCCCTCTGAAAGACTCCGCCTCTCCTAAAGCAGGTGCCTGACCCGCTCGGGTTGCTGGATGGCTGCCCTTGACTGGTAGCTGGAACTGCCGCCTTCCTCCCAGACAGATGGGATGGGAGTGGGCCCTCCTGGCTGGAGCTTTTCAGCTTGAGTGGGTCTCCCAAAAGTTGGAGATGGTGCAGCGACAGTACTTAAAGAGAGGAAAACGAACAGAGAAGAGGGAGGAGAGTGTCGGCTCCTTTAGCCAAAATTGCTGCCCCCCCACCCCGACATTCCACCGCCACGCCTCTCTACCAATATCGAGCAGTGTGAACTGGGATTTGCCCCTTCCGATGTAGATTTAGAGACAGACATATATGATGTATGTATATATACACATTTCACCAAAAATATGTGTATAGAGAGATAGATATAGATTTTTTTCAACAACAAAAAAAGTGCATTTCTAGAATCAGAAATGGGGAGCTAAGGAGAGAGAGATGGCTGGCCGCCAAAGCTTGTGGGAGGAAAAGAGCAGGGCCGGCGGAGACTGGTGTTTTGCTAGGCGCGTTGCTGGGCAACGGGGAGAGGGAGTCCGCCTGCGAGCGGGTCTTGGGAGCGCTCCGGGCCCTGAATTTTATTTCGGCCAGTTCAGGGGCAGAGATAGATATAGCAACAGAGGGCAGTGTGTGTGACGGCTGGAGCTATTTATTGGACCAAGCTCAATAAATATGGGTGAGCTGGGTCGAGTCCGGGGAAGGACCGAGCTTTGCTCTGGCATTCTTTGGAGAAGGGGCCTTGTGGCTTTGCTGGCCCGCATACTTTACCCGGGTCTGGAAGATCTCTCTTGTGCCTGTGAGACGTTAAGTTTGGGATACAGGGAGAAGTGGGCGCTGGGTTTCAGTTCTGTCATTGAGAAATAAGAGAGAGGGGAAGAGCAGAAAATATGCTTCTTGGAAAGAAAGAAAAATTACCTAAATAAAAATGCATTCATCCTTTGCTTCTTTGAGGGGTTTGGCCATCCATCACCCTGGCTTCCATTCCCAGCCTAATCCAAATGCCCTGTTGAAGTCAAGTTCCAGGTTTAGGTTTATTGGCCAAATTTGTGTCTGGATTGAACAAGATCATGGAAAACTGAAGGAGCCAGATTCCTTTCCCACCCTTATCCCCTCCCTTTAAAACAAGTCTTTGAGAGGCTGGCTGTGCCCAGAGCCAACCAAAATGGGAACTGGGAAGACAAGAAGAGGGCGCTTTTAACTTGACTTTTCCTGCCTCCCCCTCCCCTCCCTTCCTCCTATTTCTGCTGTGTCAGCTCAGACTGGAAGAGCAAGCACAGTTGGCCACAGTGAGGCTTCATTTTCTTTCCATTACTCTTTTTCTCCCCCTACTTTCTTATCCCTCCCTCCCATCCCACCCCCTTCTCCATCCCCCAACTCCAAGACATCCCCAGGGGGGCTTGGCTTTTCAATCAGAGCAGCTGTGCTAGTCCTGGGGCTCAGGGTTGGATTTGAGTAGGCAGGTGGGCTTGCGGCTGCAGAGGGAGGACTGGGCTGACCTAGGAGCCAGGGGTCACCAGAAGGTTACAGCAAAGAGCCTGGGAGCAGAAATCCCCACAGAAACCTCGGTCCCTTTAAGGCTGGGCGGGGGGGAGGAGCTAGCAGGAAAGGAAGGTGAGTTTTGTCTAAAGCTTTTACTTTGTACTTGAGCAATGTATTTAAAACTCTGGGTTATTTAATGTATGGAAAATAAAATTTTGGAGAAGGGACAACCGCACTCCAGGCTCACTGCCTCCAGAAACTGGAAGAACATCGTAAACAGATCAGGTACCTATGAGGTCCCACCGGAAGCAGAAGTGAAAAGGGCAGAGAATGGCTGCCATGACATGGACGCTATCTGGTGGGGTTTTGTTTGCATGTCTGTTTTGCATTTTTACTATGGTGGGTCCAGAAGTTACCATCCCCAGAGACCATCCTTCAATTGTAACCTGAAAAATGTCTTCCAAAACAGTAAGATTTATTACATATCTACAAAAATAAATAAGCAAATAAACAAAAACAGTTCTAAGCTTCCACTCCCCTCTCCCTCTATCCACAGAATTCCCCATTCTTGTTTCCAGCCCCAGTTCTTTCCATGATTTCTGTTGTGATGTCTTTTTCTTCTTCTTTAATATAAATTCAAAGAAGTGACTGGGAATCTGTATCAGAGGTGAAGTAGCCTTTCTTGCCTGGCCACTCAGCTTAGCTAGGTTTGAGTGTCTCTCCAGGAATTGCCTGGGTATTGGCCAAAGAATGCTCCAGCTGGAAGGAACCTGCCATGATCGCAGCATCTTGGCAGTCAGGCCCTCATTTTACAGATAAGGATGCTGAAGCCCAAAGTAGAAGTCACAAGCTTAGAATTAGGTGCAGGGTTAGAGGCAGAGCCAGGGCTAGAACTCAGTCTTAGAATCTTGTTGAGCCTAGTCCTCCTAGTCCTAGTTCTGCCCTCCCTGCCTTTCTTCCTTAAGTCCCTGGGGCTCTGGCCTGGGCCTGGTCTAAACTGCAATGAAGCCTTTGCCAAATATTACCCAATGCTGTCATCTCATAGCAGGAGGGGCAGAAGGGGGATGATGTGAAGATGAGATAAAAGCTCAGAACTTGGAGTGCTCCGTTTGAGGAGAAGCAAAGTGGCCCCAAAGTGGAGAAAGCAGTACCCCTTTATTTTCAATCTTGTTCTGTTCCATCCCTTTTTCTGCACGGTCTTGCAGGCAAGGCTGGCTTAGGCGAGTGATTTGGTGAGGGATGGGGGGGCAAGGAGGGTGGAAAGGGGTGTGTTCAGCCCAGACTTCAGGCCCATGTGCCAAACCTCATTTTCTGAATGACAGGGAGCTGTCCTTATGTGGGCGGGCG